TTAGATTAATAGTTGAAACTAAAATTTAAATAAAACAAAAAATAATCTATAATTTAATTTGTTCAACACTTTTACAGCTACTTATTTTTAACAAAGTACAAAAGATATTAAAGTGGATAGAATAATTTATTTTCAAAAAAATTATACTTTTTATTATAAATAATTATTTTTTTAATAATATTTTAAACACATAATTTATTCTTGTCAAGAATTTGAACCCCCCAAAATATCTCTGCTCTTTTTTTAATTTTTTTGTAGCTTTTACACATACACAAAAGAGAAAATAGAGAGAATAGATACAAATCTGAATGCTACTCTCTTTCCTTATTTACTTGTCCACATTTTCTCTTTTAGATGTCCCTATTTACTTGTTCATTTTGACAAATCAAGAAATGACACTTTTATACCTTTATTTAAACTTCTTGAAAATTTCCAAGTTTTACTTCATCCTTTTTAAAACCATATTTAATAAAGATAAAATTGTAACTTCACTATTATTATCTAATTGTTTGTACCTTTTCTAACGTGGACAACTAAATAGGAACAAAGGAGTATGTGTTTATTTGACAAATGCTACGTGTAAGCTTTACCGTTGGAGCAGCACACTTAACATAAATATGAAGCGAGGAAGAGCAAAAGTTATATGTATTAAAGCTTAATAATCCACATGTTGCTTGCTCAGCTACTGATAAAAAGAAACGTATAGAAAAACAAAATTTATTACTTTGACAACATTAAATGACCAAAATATCCTTACAAAACAATTGAATGACAAAGAGCACACATGTTGAAATTGTCTCTTTTAGATCTATACTAGGAAGAAATGGCCCGTGCTTGACGGGCCCAACGTTTGAAAGATTTTTTCGAGCTAAATAGACACAAACACCGTTTTGGGCTAATGCACAACACACAAGGGCAATTGTTTGTGGCCTCCTTGTTTACATTGAATATTATATATCATGTACTATTTACTTAGTGCTGTATTTTTCCTGTTTTCTAGTTTAAGCACCTATCAAGAAGCATCAGAAGAGGAAAAAGGAATTTAGGTACCAAGTGGAATATTTTTAGTCATACATATATGTATTTGTCTAACTATGTATGCATTTTTATGTTATGATTTTAATAGTTCTAACAACCAAAAAATTATGAGAGAAGTTGATCATTGAAATGATAATCAACACAATAAAAGTACAGAATATCATTTCTTTTTTCAATTTTACCACAATTCGACAAAAGTTTCATTTATATAAAATAATCTGATTGTATAGTTAAAGGGACTAAGCAACTCAAGACATGCTTAGTCTTGACATTTATTCCTCAATATATATCAAAGGCCTCCAATCTGCGAAGGAAGGTTGGGACAAACATTTCCTAAAAATTACATGTCCAAACAAAATTACAAAACACCATTAAATGAGGAAATATCACCATGACATTCATAGACCAGATTTAGCTATAGTTTCTTTCACCAAGAAAGATTAATTATCACAACCAACATAGAACTAATGAGAATATATAACTGTTTGAAGAAAATGTTATCACTGAATTCATGCATGAATTATTTTGATTTGCAATCCCACCTTCTGTCTCTTCAGTCTTTTATTCTCCTCTTCAAGAAATGAAACATTGTTCTCTAGTTCATGGGTGTAAGCAAAAGGACCTGCTTTCTTGCTCGTGATCGAGCGCGGATTCCCTATTTTTAATCATCCTCTTCTGCCTTCTTTCTAGACTATTTTCAGCGGCATTACATGGAGCAATTCGCTTTCTTCCAGAGGTTTGTATCTCTGATAGTGTTCCAATTATATGTGCTGGAGACATTGTCACTTGACTTTCAGGATAAGTTGCATCCATAATTGTGTTAGCAACAACAGGTATGTTCAATTGGATGGCCTTCATAATATTTACATATATTATTTATAGAGTGTTGACAAATATGAACATAGTTTAGCTTGGATTGAAGACAACAATAAGTGTTCTCAATTCAAAAGAACTTAGCGGGAAGAACTCAAAGAAAGATTAGCAATGGATGAGTCAATATCTTCGATTTACACAAGTTGTGCTTTTATTAATTAGAGAAAAACCCAAGAAAAAAATAGCTTATTTTACAAAATGAAATCTCAAAATAATCAGCAAACTTAGAAATGAAATGAGAAATACAATATCCTTGATCACACAAGTTATGTTCTTAAAATGTAGAAGAAATTATGTCAATCTAAGTGCACGAGCAGTTATGTTCCTAATGAAAAAATAATTAACAACTCAGTATGGAGTGAAGCATTTATTTGTTAAATTAATACAACTTGAAGAACTGATAAGTTTGATTGTTTGGTAGGAGGTAGAAGATTAGACATCTCATATTTGGTTGATGGTATACATTTATCTCGAGATAAATTTATACCATCAACCAAATAAGGTATAATAGCTTAGTCGTCATAGCATATATCAAGTAAAAATAGATTTGGTATGTTGTTGGAGAAAAAAGATGAAAAATTTCTTGCTCCGAGAAACTTCAAAACCAACATTCTTCCATTCTAGAAAAGAAAAAAATCACTTTAACTTACGTCTGATACTATGTTTTAGTGATTAACACTCCCACACCCCACCCCATCCCCACCCAAAAGGAAAAAAAAAGATAAATATTGTGTATATAGTTGTTATACTTATTTCTTGCTCTCGTATTTTCTAAAAAAATTACACATACTGGAATCTCATTAAGAATTTCATTAGAGGAGAAGTGGAGGATGTCCTTTGTCATGCCCTCCAAGTATGGTTCAGACTTGCCACTACCGAAGAATTTCTATGTTACTATCAAAGAGGTGCCTCGCAAAATTGTCGCAGTTGTTGCTTTTTCAGGTTTGTAACTTCACATTCAGTATGTCAATACAAAGTTCAAGATGGAATGTTCAGCTTTCTTGAAATTCAATATATGTTGTCAGAAAGCTAGGATCTGTCTCATTGGTTAGTAGTAGTAGATCTTGGTAAAGTTACTTGGTACTTAATTGATCGATTGACTTGTTATGATATGAGAGAAACTTGGACATAGTGATACTTACGTTTCTTTCTTTAATGTCCTATAAGCCTGCTGTGACGAATGACGGTGATCAATTCAGAGTTCAAAGAGAAAACATTAAGGAATTCTGTTTTTCAAGTTCTGTATCCTAACATAGCTAGCCCTCTCTCGTTTGATTCCAATGAAGGTTTTGTGAATGACGAAGAAGTTAAAGCTCGAGAATCAAGACTTCGAACTGCACTAAAGGGAGATGCATAGTTTCAGGTAAAAGATGGTGCTTTGGTAGAAGTTGCACAGGTATATTTGTAGAATCATTTCAATTACACTTACAATGTCTCCTGGAGAACATATTTCGACCTAGTTCAACTAAAGTAGCTGCATATTTATTATGCTTCTCTTGCAGTATAATCCACCATTTACTCTTCCTTTCACACGTCGGAATGAGATTAGCCTAGAAGTCAAAATGAAACGGGAATAGCTAATCTAGAACTTGTTTGGATTCAATTAAAAGTTCATCAAATCTACTTTTGAATCATTTTTGACTTTTGGGAGAGATTTCAGCTCTGTTAATCAGCAAGAAGTTGGTATATGGAATAACTGTTTGAGATGTTTGAAAAACCTTCCTGAAGGTAGTTCTTTAATTGATGCAATTTCCGTGTTACTCAAATGACAATAACCAACCATGATAAAAGCATACAATTGCTTGTTCAAGTCCAAAACATTTGACTTTCTAATAAAAGAAAGTTGATTTTCGTTATTACATAAAAAGCATTACCGATCACCAATATAGCAGCAGGAGATAGCAATATAACACTACGCACACAAGCCCCAAAGTAAAGGGAGAACATCATACTTTTTTTTTCTCCACAAGTGAGAACAATAAAGTTTTCAGCTTTAATCCCTATCAAACACTAAATTGCCAAGAACCAATTTTTTTCCAATTAACACAAAGTAAATAGCAAGTAGAAGTAAAAAAATTATAACCCAACATAAGCATTTTAGCCATCAAGATGTTTTGAGCTTCTCTCCCAGGCTTGTGTGGGGTTACAAGATATTTTACGTGGGAGAATTGTTCATGTGTATGTACAGAAGCTTGGGTTTCAATCGAATTTAGTTTGATGCCATCTTTCTGTTCAGTATTCGCATAAATACAACATCACTATTTACTCAAACATTAGCGATAATTTAAATTCTAAAAAATTAGAAGACTTATCCTAGTTCTACTGATAGACCAGTACGTCAATCCGGGTACAAGTAAATGAAAATCATTAAACTCCAAGCTAAACCGTCAAGAGCCAAGAAAATTGATTTCGATGAGAAACTCGTACATGAACAGATGAAATTCAAAAGAATTCCGATAAAGAAACCCACAAAGTTAATTTCGACGGGAAAAGGACCAAATTAATTACTGCATGTGAGAAAATACAACAAAAATCTGAATCTAAACAATTTTTTGACAACCCAAAGTAGAACATGAAAAGCATAATCACTCAACCAAAATTGAAAACACAACTATTGAAATTATTGGTACTTCCAAATACAAGGATAATTCAACATCAATAACAAACCCAAATAAAAAAAATAAAAAAAGATTCACACACACCCAGATCAATTTGGAACTTCAACTTTAAAGAAAAGGAAAATGGCACAAAAAAAACTCAATTAAAATATGAAAGAACCTTACATGGAGAATGCTGAAGTGAAAGAACAGAACTTGTGCACAGAAGGTAGAGCATGAATGAAGATTACAAACAACATACTGTATACATTAATAACATAGAAGAAAGACACGTAGGAAACTGAAAGACAAATTGATAGCATGGGAAGAAGACATGTAGTCACAATAGAGAATGAGAAAGACAAAAATACCCTGAGAGCAATGAAACAGGCATGTTGAAACAAGCCTTTTCTAAAATAAGAGTAATATATATATATATATATATATATATATATATATATATATACTAGAAGTGGATGGCCCGTGCCAACATTTCAAGTGGGATACATATATGACTATTGCATATTAAGTCCAAGTGTGACCCGACAAAAATTATATGTTAATGTTGGAGCCTAAGTTTTATAACATCACATTTTATTTACATAGGAAAAATGAAAGTGATCCGTTATGATTATGCTTGCTACATCAACAAAAAATGGCTCTTATCACATTGCGAAGTGTAGATGACATTATTTTTCACTGACCTAAAAAATTAAAACACAACAGTTAGTTGAAGTTCTGAATGTACGAAGTAGTAATTCCGAAAGAAGTTTATATACCTTGTTATTGTGTTTTGGAGGGGAAGTCTTCACCTCTAGAGCATGCTTGTGATAAGAAGTGACCTCTTGCTTGTCTTTTTTGTTTGTGATAGGATTTCCTATCTTCCTTTTGTTGCTTCCTGCTGTATCCATTGGAGCAGGTGATGATGGTGCACCGATTGTTTGCAGGAGTAATAGGAGTAATGACAGGATCCTACTTAGACCGGATTTCCATTTTGCGTAACTGGAAAAAGCTAAAAGGAAAAACAACAAAAAGAATCACTTCTCAAGTCGGGTTCCCTTAAAGTAACAAATTACACAGCTCCGATCGTAAAAATAAATTGAACTCCATAAAGTATTAACGATCCATCACCTCTGAGAAGCAAAGAAAGCTATAATGTTAACTTCCTCCCGAAGTGTTAAAAACTAAACTCAGATACCAAAGATAAAAAAAATTAAACCTACAAAAAGGACCCCATAAAGTACTAACCATCCAACACCGCAGAGAAGCATATAAAGTTACAATCTTTAACTTCCTCCCAAACAGTTCAAAGTAAACTCAGACACAAAAGATAAAACAAATAAACATACAAACAGAACCTATAAAGTGTTTAGCTATGCAGCACCATGAGAATGCATAAAGCTACAATCTTTACATTTCTTCTCAACTGTTCAACTTTAATAACATATAGTATTAAATAAATAGTATAAAATAATATTAGTATTTACTGTGTACTAATCCTAATCCTATTAGGATTAGTACTCCTTAATCCTAGTCCTATTAAGATTAGTACTCCTTCCTATATCTCCTATATATATCTCTCATGTATTCCCTTATTAGGTAAACACTTCAGTACAATCAATATTCCTTCATGGTATCAAGAGCCAGAAAACCTAGATCTTCTTTTCTCTAGGTTTTTTTCTCTCTCTTTAGGGCACCGATCGTTCCCTCTCTTCTCTTGGGCGGCGGCAGCCATGACAACCGAGGTGGATCCTCTCGATTCACTTTCTTCTGGCGTTAAACTCCTTCTCAGGCATCTTCATGCCCTGATTCTCGAAAAATTATCAGACATAAATTACCCTACATGGAAAATCACCGTTCTTACAGCCCTTGAGGCCAATTACCTTCTCAAATACGTCGATGGAAGCACAGAACCGCCGCCGGCAGTCATCACCACCACAGACAAATCAGAAAAAATCAATCCGGCCCATGCCGCCTTGAAAGCCGTGGATGGAAGATCCGATCATGTTTGATTGCGGTCATCTCTCCCACGGTTCAGAAACACGTCCGATCCTACCAACTGCTTCAGCCCTGTGGACGACCCTCGCAACACGCTATGCATCAATTTCCCACTCTCATATTTTTCAATTGCGTGATCGTCTCCACACAATTAACAAAGGCATGAAAACTATGGAGGAGTATTTAGACGAGGTCTCCACCATCATCATAGCCCTCGACACCGTGAATGAAATCATTCCCGAAAAAGATCTCGTCATGTGTGTCGTTCGGGGGCTCCCATCAGCTTACTCCTCCATTAAACAGGAAGTTCGCATCAGTCCAACGCCCGTTGACCTGGCTACTCTCTCCTCGTGGCTAAAAAGTGAAGAAATCCACGTGGATTTGGAGAGCAAACTTCTTCTCCAAGAAGACGCTGTTATGGAGCCGACCACCGCCCTCACCGCAAGCCAGAACTATCGTAGGGGGCGTGGTGGCGGTCGGCAGGGGAGCTGCGGAGGCTACAGCAGAAACAGCAGAGGCCGCGGGTGTGGCGGTCGGCAGGGCAGTCGTCCATCGTACGACGGTCAACAGCACGGCAGCAACAACAACTTGCACTATTTCGGCAGCAGCGTGCAATCATCTTCCAGCGGCGGGCAGGGCACTTACGAGTGGGATCGTCCAACTTGTCAAATCTGTCAGAAAACAGGACACACCGCTGTTCGTTGCTGGTTTCGGTATGAGGAGAGCCGAAATAGTGATAACCGTGTCAATTATGCATCTCAAGCCGGCCCTTCCTCTGAATGGCTGTTGGATACTGGGGCTAACATGCACGTTACTTCTGATCTATCCAAGCTTAACGCTCCAAATCCATATCATGGCTCCAATGGTATTACTGTTGGCAACGGTGAGTCCCTTAATATTTCTCACACTGACACGGGTACCATTAAAACCCCCACCGTTATCTTTCACCTAGGTAACCTTACCCATGTCCAATCTATTAAAACCAATCTCCTTTCAGTTCACCAATTCACAAAAGACAATAATTGCTCACTCTTGTTCACCTCTAATGATTTTCAGATCCTAGACAATACTACCAAGAGGGTGATTTTTAAGGGCCCCTGTGAGTATGGTCTGTACGTTCTTCCTGGCACAAGTTCGTCTGCCCACCCAGTTTCAGAAAGCGTGCTTGTGGCTCCGGTGGCTCTTTCGGATGATGGCCACAGTCTGTTGTGGCACAGTCATCTGGGTCACCCGTCTACTCAAATAATAAATTCTTTAATGTCTCAATTAGGTTTTTCTTCCATTCATGTAAAAAATTGTGACTCCTGTTCAATTGCTAAATCTCATAAATTACCTTTTACTTTATCTGAGAAGCGTACAACTGCACCTTTTCAACTTATTCATTCTGACCTATGGGGTCCTACTGCTGTTCCTTCATTTGCTGGTTTTCGCTATTATATTTGTTTTGTGGATGATTTTACAAAATAAACTTGGTTGCACCCACTAAAACACAAATCACAGGCATACACCACCTTTGTCACTTTTGAAAAAATGGTCAAAACACAATTCAATTCTCATGTTAAACTTTTTCGAAGTGACAATGGAAAGGAATATGTAAATAACATCTTTGGCCAGTTTCTGCAATCCCTGGGAATTATACATCAAACCTCCTGTCCATACACTCCCTAACAGAATGGGGGGGCTGCACGTAAACATCGCCATCTCATTGAAACGGTGGTTACTCTTCTACATCAATCTCATCTCCCTGTCTCCTTTTGGGTAGAAGCTCTAGCCACCGCAAACTACCTCATTAACAGAATGCCCAGTCACACCCTCTCCAATAAATCGCCCTATCAACTCCTTTACCAAGAACTTCCCAATTATACCAACCTCCGCGTCTTTGGGTGTCTTGCCTACCCTTGGCTACGCCCTCATATTACTCACAAATTACAACCCCGATCCCGTCCTTATATTTTTTTGGGCTATCATCCTACATCCAAGGGTTATCGCTGTCTTGACCCACAAACTCATAAAGACTACATATCTCGTCATGTCAAATTTGTCGAAAATGAGTTTCCCTACGAGTCTATTTCCTCCTCCACAAATACATCATTCATTGGTGTCCTTCCCCCTTTTCCAACATACTCACAGGGTCCCTCACCACCTTCCCCACACCTCCACCCACTACCCAACCACCCCTCATCACCCCGTCGACCGTCACCCACAATACATCCGCAACCACCACCCACACTCACAACCAACCCGAACCACCCCATACCCACAACATCTCTAGCCCGATCCGCTTTGGGTCCTTCTCGACCACCCCCGAATCACCGCCGCCCGTGCCACCCCCCAATAGTCATCCCATGTTAACCCGTGGCAAAGTCGGTATCATTAAACCCAAAACCTTTCAGGCTACTATACTACCAAATACACCCCTTCCCGATAATGAACCAACAACCTACTCTGTTGCCTCAAAAAATTCTTATTGGCGTCATGCTATGGATGACGAGTTTAAGGCTTTAACTGAATAGAAAACTTGGGTTCTTGTACCTAAGCCCCATGGGCGGCACCCAGTGGTCTGTAAATGAGTGTACAAAATTAAACACAATGTAGATGGCAATATTTCCAGGTACAAGGCTCGTTTGGTTGCTAAAGGCTACAATCAGGAGTATGGTCTTGATTACTCTGAGACATTCAGTCATGTTATTCGGCAGGAAACCATTCGCCTGGTACTGTCACTCACCGTGCGCAACAATTGACTCATCAATCAGTTCGATGTTTCCAATGCTTTTCTTCATGGCATGCTTGATGAAACTATCTACATGACGCAACCACCTGGCTATGTTGATCCCCACTTCCCTCAACATGTTTGCAAACTCCAGAAGTCTCTGTATGGGCTCAAGCAAGCCCCCCGTGCTTGGTACACACGTCTGAAAACGTTCCTCTAGGGACTCGACTTCACGTGTTGCGTACACGACACGAGTCTGTTTACTCGACATTCAGCACACGGTTCATTCATTCTTCTTGTCTATGTAGATGATATCATTATTACAGGCTCTACTACAGCTCTCATCCAGGATGTCACTCGAGCTATGCATACTACCTTCAAAATGAAGGACCTTGGCCCGTTACATTATTTTCTGGGAATGGAGGTTTCTCGGACAGGCAGCGGCTTGTTTCTTCATCAGTCAAAATATGCTCGAGATCTGTTGCAAAAAGCTGGACTGGAACATGCACCAGTCAACCAACACCGATGGCAGTCTCTTCGTCTACGAATGGAGCCGACACCTCCTTTGGCGATATCACCCACTTCTGCAGCCTCATTGGGGCTCTACAGTATCTGGCCATTACCTATCCTGACATCCAGTTTGCTGTCAACCGAGTTGCTCAGCACATGCATCAACCAAGTGAACATGATTACCATTGTCTAAAACGCATTCTCAGGTACATTTTTGGCACTCTTGGTCGTGGTTTACTCATTCGACTCGGGGACTTGGAGCTTTGGGGTTTCTCAGATTCAGATTGGGCGAATGATAAAAATGACAGAAAATCTACATCGGGGTTTCTCGTTTTTCGGGGCCGAACCTGATCTCCTTGTGTACAAAAAAACAACCCAAGGTCTCTCGGTCCTCGACTAAAGCTGAATACCGCGCCCTTGCTCTTCTTGCTGCTGAGACCATGTGGGTCACATATATTCTTCGCGAACTCCGCGCCACTCACACTGTTCCTGCTCTCTATTGTGACAACAAATCAACCATCTGCGTGGCCAAGAATTCTGTCCTACAGACCAGAATGAAGCATGTTGATACCGATTGTCTTTTTGTTCGCTATGAAGTTCAGGCCGGCACCATGACTGTGCAGTATGTACCCACTGAAGAACAACCGGCTGATATTCTCACCAAGCCTCTCCTGAGCCGACAGCACGATTACCTCAGTTCCAAGCTTCCGTTCGCTTCCGCTCAGCTCAGCTTGAGGGGAGATGATAACAGATAGTAATAAATAAATAGTATAAAATGATATTAGTATTTACTGTGTACTAATCCTAGTCCTATTAGGATTAGTACTCCTTAATCCTAGTCCTATTAGGATTAGTACTCCTTCCTATATCTCCTATATATATCTCCCATGTATTCCCTTATTAGGTTAACACTTCAATACAATCAATATTCCTTCAAACTTAAATGTAGAACCAAACGATGTACTCATAAATTTCTTGAGTTAAGGGTCTATCGGAATTAGTCTCTCTACCTCATCTCACAAGGTAGGGATAAGGTTTACATACACAGTCTCCCCAAACGCCACTTGTGCGGTTACATTTGCTATGTTGTCCTTGTCAAGAAATTATGCCATTTGATCAATAATTCATGATTGGATGATTTAAAAGACAGTGATCAAACCACAAAACAAAACAATTCTACTAATTTCTAGGAGATTCAACAAATTATACGATATGATCAAGTTTCATGACTTGACATTGATCAAGAAATTCTCAGTCCCTTCTAATTCCTTACACCTACAAGACAAGAAAGATAAAAACCCAGAGCCAATAAATAGTTAAGCTTCCACACCAAAAGTCAAGACCTTTGATCAATTCTCAACAATTTGTTGAAGTGACAGGATTCTTAGTAACAACAGTAGCTCTAACAAATTGAGTTCTCATTTTTCATAAGTTATACCAACATCAAATTTTTAAATCTAAAAACAACCAAACAAGAACAACAAAACCAATTAACTTAAAAGAGGTAATAGAAATAAATATCTCACATTGAATACTATAAAAGAAACCTTCCAAGGATGAAATGTAATCTCTCTTGATACAGAAAAGTTGCAAAGACTTTGAAAATCCTAATTCCGATAAACAATTCCATCACCATAAATTTAGTTTTGGCAAGGAAAGCATTACCTCGTAATTATAACTCTTATACAATCACATGAACACAAAGCGAGAACAAAGAAGCTGCATTACACAAAAAGAGCAGACCAAAAGAAGGAGAACAAACTATCAGTTACCAATGGAAAAACCGAATGTATAGACTCTGTACAATAATTTAAAAAAAATATTTTTTTAAGCTGCAACATAAACATCGCGAGAATTGATCCAAACTTATTGGAACATTCAATGAATCATGCAACATCACTCTGTTTCATCCTATTCTCACACAAGTCTCACAATTTTTCTGCTAAGCCACTTATATATTCAGTATTATTGATCAATCGGTCACCTGGATATATGGAGATTTAAATCGAAAAGGCTCCCATCGGTAAAACATTTCATACCAAAAATGATTCTGCACTCGGGGAACTCGAACTCGAGACCTCTGGTTAATTACTCCATCACAACCTTATTCCATTGATGAGTCTGTAATTAGCTTACTTATTTCTGTGAATTAGGAGACAGAGATGCCGCCTTGGCTCTATCTCTCTCTATCTTCTTTTTACGCTTCTGCTTCAAGTCTTATGTATATATGCGCCTACCCCTACTCTTCCTTCTTATTTATTTTGAATAAAAAAAATTTGATCACTTCCTCATCCCTATTTTTCTACATTATTAATTTGTTCAATCTTTGGCATTATTGACATTGTAAGTCCTAATATATGTAAACATCTGCCAAGGAAACATATATATTTGTACAATAAAATGTAGCAGTAATAACACCTATCATTATAAAAATATGGGAAAAGGGTCTGATATACCCCTCAACTTTGTCATTTGAAGCTGATATACCCCTCGTTATAAAAGTGACTCATATATGCCCTTACCGTTATACAAACGGCTCACATATAGCCCTGCCATTACAAAATGGCTCACATATACCCTCCATTTAATGGAAGTTAAAAAATTAGTTTTAAATTTATATTTATTACTTCTAATTTTTTTTAAAAAATTATTTAGGGGTATATATGATTCTTCTTATCAAAGTTCAAGGTATATTTTAATTTTTTCATACATAAATTATTTTTTGACTTCTTTTATTATAATTATTTGGAATTTTCTTATTCTTATTTTGTTTTTGTCTTTCATTCCTTAGTTTAAAGAATAAAAAATTAAACTATTCTTTTTGTGTGTATTGTAATTTAATTTCGTATTCGAAGAAAAAATTTGGTCATCTACAATAAGTTTTATAAGTATATTAGTGAAACATAAATAAATTTGATTATCAAAATAATAATTATAAATTAGTCATTGAAACAAAAAAAAATTCAAAAAAATATGTTTGACAAGGATTAAATTTACTCATATGACATTATATTTTTTAGAAAAAATAATAAAAATTTAAATTTAAATTATTATTTTTTTATTTCCGTTGAGGAAAAGGGTATATGTTAGCCATTTGTTTACAAGTAGGGGTATATATGAGTCACTTTCATAACAAGGGGTATATAAGCTCTAAATGAAAAAAGTTGAGGGGTATCAGACCCTTTTTCCTAAAAAAATTGGACTTTATTTTGCAATTTCAGTCGTTAATACAATTAAAATTAAACACAGGTGCAACTAATTGATCAATAGGATTGCAAACTAAACGTCAGCGCCTATAGTTTTTTGTAAATGTCTTCCCTATCCACTTAAGCCAGTTAGAAGTTTGTGCATCTGATATTAACTACAGCTACATGAGATGATATCATCTAGTGGGAACCGATTTAATATTATCCTTTTTAACCTCTTAAACTGTTACTGAAGTGCATAGGTCTCCTCTTTTGACTTCTGAAAACTTTACTTTTAACTAATCTTTTATGGTATGGGATACTCCCTGTTACATTCCATTTTAACAATAAATTGCATCCAATATTTGCCACTTCCTATAAAGATCAATATCCTCTTTCAGGTTTCTGAAAGTTGAGGAAAATATGACTGTAAGGGAACATATGAAACCAATTTTGCTGACTCCCTCAGAGATATACAATAGCTACTAAATAGGTATAAAGTACTGCTGAAACTACTACTCAGCCACAAAAGCTAGAGGCTGAAGCCACGATGATGGCAGAATCACGATACTCCACTACAATCCAAGGCACAACAATAGCCTTTAAGGTTATTATTTTTAATTTTTTATATCTTCATTCAATAGATTAGGATAACTTTCACATTTTTTAATCCATATTATCTCAGAATTTAACTAAAATTAATTTGAAGATAGTACTTGAGCTTCAGAGAGTCAGACACAGTAGAAATGGACATTTTTCTTCAAGATTTTAACCCTCGGCACTTTTACAAAGTCAAGACTCAACATCTTTTATACTGGAGAAATTGTTTGTTTCTTATTCAGTGCACAGAGTAAAATAAATTCATAGCGACACATTAAAATAATGATAACTAACCAAATCATTTTCTACAAAACTCAATAAAGATAGATAAACGGATGCACGATTCGACAGACATACCGGTAGCTGAAATTCCGATAAAGGTAATTGTAGTTTCCCTTAACTTCAATCTGCAAGAAAAAATAATTTCAAAACGTCAGTGCAACCTACAAAAATAGAAGACCAAAATTGACAACCCCAGAAAGCTAATTCTGTCGTAATAAAATCTTTCATAAAATTTTCTTCTGATTATTACATCAGAAGCCCATATAAACAGACAAAAGACCAAATAAACTATTGCATGTTCAGAATGCTTAAAAATGCAACATAGGCGAATGAAAAGACGAAATAACTAAACAAAAATCGAAGCTTCAAGGGAAGCAAAACAAACTAGAACATCTAACAACAAACCCAAATTTATAAAAAAAATTATGAAGACACCATATCAAATGTCATCAATAAAAGAGATAAAACAAGTAACTTGATTTCAATACAACCGTCCATCTTTGTTTCCTAGCTGTCGAGCTAAGAAGAGCTTCATTTTTTGGGTGCCATCAACTTATATAACTCTGGTCACCTAGTTTTTTTGTTGGCGTTTATATATTAGCAGAAATGTGACAATTTGTATAGCTAGCTTCTATACATATTTGACCAATACACAAAACTTAGACGGAACTTGATAACCTGGCTTCTAAAATCAAAGTCTAGCGACATCATATTTTTTCAGATAAACATTTAAATAGATTTGACAACACGGGTCAATACAAATCTGGAACCATACAATCATGTCAAATATAACAAATCTTATGATTTAGGTTCAAGATATTTAAAAATATAATCAATCTGACACAGCTGAAAATAAGTTAATCGATCCACGGAAAAGAAAAATATAGCAGAGACATTTATAGAGAGAGATATGAGGACAAACAAAATGGACAGGTGCTTAAGAGACTGATCAAGAAATGCAAAGATGAGGGAAATGGTTAGTCATGACGATGTAGGACACATGAAGTTCCTTTTCTCACTTCTCACTCTCAGGATTGCCACACGAAAGAAGCTAGTCCCTTCCGAAGGTCACAGAATTTTACTGTCAGCTCGACTACTAAAAACATGTAGTTTTTAGAAGAAAAAACAAAAAAAACTACTTCGAAGCAATTTTGCCTACCATGTAGAAGGACCCTGATCATGGAGAAATTGTTGAAGGGATACAATATAAGGTGTAGTTTGAATTGAATCCATGCCTACCATATAGAAGACCCTCATAGATACCACTAGAGTATAAGCTTTAATTGTTTGTACGTCACCCCGTTTATTATCATCTCTATCCAATTATATTCTCATGTATAGCACAATCTATCAATATAGTTATGCTTTTATCATCTTCTGTTAATTTTTGGTGCTGAATTATTTTTTTCGAGCTAGCTCTTTCGTTGCGTCTTTTGTCCTTGTAATGGCTTCTCAGTTATTATTTGTTTTGGATCAAACAGTCCAATTGTTTTTGTGGTATGCTTGTATAGTTTTTTAGTTACTATTCATGGAAAATATTGATCGAAAAAAAATTGATATACCAGCTCAACTAAACAGAAACAATACACTAAAACAGCTGAAAACAGAACAAAAAAGCACAAAGTTTGAATCTTTAAACTCAAAATCAACAGAATAACCCCAATGTTAAACCACAAAACAAATTACCAACTCACCAACTACACATAACTAAAGTATGAAAATTAAACCCCACATCTAGTCAAATCAGGAACTCAAACATAATAAGAAAAAGCTCATACCTTTACCAGAAAACCAGAAAAGGCCTTTAGGCTTAAAAGGGTCTATGCAACAATGAATTCAAGAACAAGAACAGGTTTTACCCACTGCAGATTTGCAGTAAATTAAAAGTATAATATTAACTGAATGAGTATAAAGATTTACAGAAAAGAAGAAAAAAAAGAGTTATAGGAATCAGGATGAATCAATCATAGAATCAAAATCCCCACACTACGTAACCTTAATCTAAGACGTTTGTTTTCGAAGGATCTTAAAGAGTTACACTTACAATAGTCGAGGAGAAGAAAATCAAACTATCAGAAACCACAAAATAAATTGGAAGACCAAACTAATACTACATCTGACAAAAGACAACCAAAATTTTTACTGCATGTTAAAATATATGGATTTTTCATACATGAACAAAGGAAGACAACCAGAAATTTGAATTGGAAGATCAAACTAACACTAAATCTAACAAAATAGAACAAAAAGTTACTGGATGTGAAAATACATGGGTTTTTCATACATGAAGAGAAGAAGACAACCAAAAATTTGAAACGGAAATTCAAAATACAAAACGTAAAACGATAATCACCCAAATGGATTAAAATTATTGGGACTTCTGTAACATGGAACAAGAATCAAATTTCACATACCCAAATCAAATTTGGTATATTCACCCACCTAAATCAATCTCAATCAGACAACCAAAAGGATAATCCAACGTCAATAACAATCCCAAATGGAAAAATAAAGTCAATATTCACACACCCAAATCAAATTTGGAACTTCAACCTTGATTGAAAAGGAAGACGATGGAAAAAGAAAGATTAATTGAAACATGTAAAACCTTACCTGGAGAACGATGAAGAGAGGGAACTTTGATGTGCAAACAGTGAATCATCATAAATGATGAATTAGGAGAAAGGCATGCATACTAATTTTACCAGAAGAAGACACGTTACATAAGAAATTGAAAAGACAAAATTGATTAACCAAGGAGAAGACACCTATCCATATACACAATTGAAAAGACAAAAATAACCCTTGAACAATGAAGCAGGCATGTTGATTATGCCTTTTTCTAATATAGTAGAATATATACTAGATAATTTCTGTCAGCGCGTGCACGGACCTAATATTTATCGTGTTGCAGTCTGATCATAGTCTTGTATTTTATGTTAAATAATCTAGTTTATCGTTACTATATTTTCACAATTTTTTTGCAATTTTAAATTGCATCATATTGTTGCAACAATTTCCAGTAATATTTACCACACTTCATAACTCATAATTAATATAAAAATGTTGAATGATGTGCTCCTATATAATGGCATAGCAAGTTAAAATATCCAACATGAATGCAATATCAACTAATTTATAATCTTCACAATTTTTCTTACATTCTTGCTTCTCTATACCTGTGGTCATTTGTACTTCAGAGGCGACAACTGAAACCATATGCATAATTGATATCATGAGAACTTCAATTGTGGATTATATTGAAAGTGCCACAAGTTTTACCTCCAACAACACAAATCTATCTTGAATTTTGTGGAGCTTCTTAATGGCTGCACCAAAATTCCCTCTAAGAAGTTAGGAAAAACACCTGGGAAAGAGGATGAAAAAATTAACTTCAAAGTACAAATGATTCAAAATTGCAAGTGGATAACCACATCATAAGGACTAACCTTTCAGAAAATAAGGTAGACATGGTGAGCAAAACAAATCCTTTAGCAGTCTCATCCAACTGAGTTGTGTGTCACTGCTCAAGTACCAACTGAGCTTGCACATATGATTCATCTGTGGATACCACATGGAAAATCAAATCCAAATTCCTATTCACAATGACAACAGAGAACCTAACTAAAGACTTGGGAAAATTAAAAGTAAAAACTAATTTTTGCCAACAGCATATGTGCCCAATGTGGAAACTCTAAGGGCAGGGCAGGGCAACACAAAGCATCCCGTGTTAGCGAGCACCCCAAAGGGTGTGATGTAGACAACCTATTGTAAATGCAAGCATTAGCATTTGTGTACATTGTTCAAACATCTGACTTGTAGTTCACACGGCGACAACTCAATTGTTGCATCAAGACTCTCCTTCAGTATAACAGATGATCGAATACAAGGCACAAACTTGATGGCATGCGGAAAAGTGAAAGACCTGATTTTTTAAATGGACATCTACGGCCACATGGAAAATAAAAGCAAATTCATATTTTCAATTGTTGTAAGTGAAAGTTCACATATTTCACAACTCTCTGGTGTTAGAAGATTGACTATCGTATTGCTCATTTGAACCTATAGGGATATTGTAAGGATTAGAAACTCAATGAATTATGATGAAGAAGAAAATAGAGATCCAAACCTAGATAACATTGAAATAGTAAAGAGTACAAAAAAAATATAATAGCACACATAAAAAGCCAGAGGTAAAACTACAAGTACCTTGTAATAATTTTTCAGGGAAGTTTTTCTTTTCATTCTCCGTTATCATGCTGCCTATTCCTTTTTGCCAGCGTATTCCTTGGAGGTTGATCATTCTTATGATGTCTATATTCAACATTGTTGTGGCTGCATCTTCTCAGTTCCCTGTATATTTATTTAACATTATTATGTGCTAGCAAAATTCCAATTCTACGGACACATATTGCAAACAGAAAAAACTTCAGGAAACATACAATACGCAATATATTTCTACACAACTAATAAAAATAGAAAGAAAATATCATCTTTCAACTCAAAAGTGCATGCACATATTCTGTTTACAATGTAAAGCAATAACAATCTAACCAAACAAATTTTCGGTCTACAACGATTCAAATGTAGAAGGTCAATTTTCACAGAGCGTAAATCTCCTCAATGAGATGAAGCTTGGGGGTTCAAGGTGGGGGTGAACAAAAATTTGAAGTAAATAGACGAATGATACTTACCAGAATTACAAATGCGGAACCAGACAAAAATATCTATTGTCACGAAACAGAGTGAATTGTCTAACAAACCACCAGAACCATCAATAACTTAGTACCAGAGCTAACAAAGTTAAAAAATTAAAGGTTATAAATCAAGAAAAAAAGAAAGCAAAGCATGAAATCTGTGTATGCTATCAATTTCTTATTAAAAAGAAATCAACAGAACTTTAGAATATGGTCCAAAAATAATGTTACATAGATTTTGCTTAAGCAAAGGTAGATAGTGATCTTCGATTAGTACTTCATGATTAATAAATATGAACACACTATGAAAAAAATCATACCATGAATCCGTAGTATAAAGATCTCTAACAAGTTCAAACTCACAGATAAGAACATATGAATAAGGGTCAATTTATATGCTAAAATTGTGTGTATACTTGTAGAAGCGAAGATTACGATTATTAATCCAGCAAAACGAATCACTCTAATCACCCTCAAACAATTACAAATTTATGATACTATTTTTTATTCCAAATAAATGGGTCCCAACTATTAGCTATGATCCTCCAAGTTAGTCAACTAAAGTTTCAATATGCAGTTCGGAGGAGTGAACCATTATGATCTACATATCGTAAAGAAAAAAATTTAACAAAATTAACGTACCAATTTCCGCAGAACACAACTAAGGAAACAATTTAGGTTCCAAAAGTTGAAGAATATTTGAAGGTATCAAAAGTATCAATTTTCATAATCTATAATATTTACTATCAAAACAACTTAAGCTCCAATTATTTGAAGGAAACACTAACCCAAAAGGTGAAACAACACCCGAGAAGAAGACGACAACAATATGCGTCCTTCAGAAGCTCATTTCCAGCCCTCGGCTTCTTATCTTCAAAATATTTCATATGAATTTAACAATAGAATAAAAAAATAAAAAGGAAACCTGAATCTCGCTGGTCGGCGGTCGCTTGTAGAAGAAAATACAAAATGGTATTTTACGTGGATTTTCAATTGCATAATAGAGACACGTAACCAGAGGTTTAGTAAAAAGTCAAAATTGCCCTTTACTTCAATTTTAATGCAAAAAAACAGGCATGTTGGTCCCAACAGCCCTACCCATGCTTCAACATTGGTAGTGTGTGTGTATATATATATATATATATAGAGAGAGAGAGAGAGAGAGAGAGATGGATATATATATATTATATATATTAGAAATTTGGTTGGCAGTTGTTTTGTTCGTTGTCATGACTGTGTTATTTAGGTTGGATATCTACAATATTTACATAATGTTGTATTTTGACTATTACTCAGCATCATTCAAAATGCACCTCTGAAATAAGATGGAAAATGAATTTAGTATATAGTTATGGGGAGGATTTAATGTTTAGTATAATACTGGTTTGTTTAAGAATTTATCATTGATTGCAAGATTTAAGTACCTGTCAATTTCTTGTAAGTATGCAGCAAAGTCGGTGCTATAAACACCAAACGTGATCGCCATCAAGACAAAATGGTGTTGCCAACCATATTGCAAAAAAGTATTACACTATAACAAAAGAAGAGTATCAAATATTGAAGAAATACATATACAATAATCAATTTTAAAATTACTAGGACAAACAACATTTATTGCTGCATAGAAAATGAGAGTCGTGTAGAGAGAATACCTTTTAGTCTTCTATTATCACGATTTCAACTTGCGTTTACTGCTTTCTGGAGTTGTTGGTGCGGTGATGGATAGTGGCAGATTGCTAGCAATATCTTTCTCGATAATTGACATGATAAATAGTTTTGTTGAAGATGAATCCTTGTTTTTGGCAAACAACTTCTTTATTTGGACGGTGAATGTCTTACCTAGCAGTTTGTGTTGCACGGATGCGAGTGACAACAATTGTTTCATAAAGATGGAAGAAATCATGTAAGATTAGATTTTTAAGAAATAAACAAGAGGTTGTAGAGTGTTTTACCTTGATGCAAAGTATGTCATGAATTTCTGCTACAGTTAGAGACAATAGTTCTTCTCCAATCTTATCTGAAATCATGGTTGTTGTTGAACCGGTATCATCCTTGATGGTTAATTCAAACTGGCATCTGGGCAAAAGTCAATATGTTTATGTTCAATAATAATTTTTAAAATTGAAATTTTTTATTTAGTTAGTCATCTTTTTATAACATAAAATTTATTTGTTGCATACACTTTTACTAATCATTCATATGCTCATATGTTATGCAATCAAATAATTCTACCAAACAAAGGTGGTATTTATATAACTTTACAAGAAAGCAAGGACGTTAGCCAACTAGGAGATGTCTTACTTTTATCAGTATGCTCTCAATAATTTTATAGCACTAAACTCAAGTCCTTATAATAAAATAAATACTGCATGCAATAATAGGTCGAAATACTAACATATTGTAACGACCCTTTTGGTCGTTTTGAGAGTTAAAGTCTTGTATTTTATAAAATATTTTTCGTTAGATTCTAAATGGATATTTTGAACTTTTTTTATAATTATAATTATGAAATTAGTGGGGTAAAGTATACAATTAGGGTGATAACTAATCTCTAGAAAAGAAGAAATATAGACGTGTAAAAACCAAGTGAGAAGAAGGTTGTGCAGCAAGTATTTGGGTTTTTAGGGTTCTTACAGTTTCTTGATTTTGTATTAATTGATTGAAGAATCACGATGCTTTTATTCTATCGGCATCGAAGCCCAGGCTATGGGGGACTTCTTGGTCAAGTGATTGTTACAGGTTCTCTATAAGGACTTGGTCCTTCTCTCAGGCCTGTCATCAGTCACTTGCAAGTAGGTGTCTGTGAACATATGTCCTCTTTGGAATAAAAGAAATTTTCTCTCCGTTGTAAAAGAGAGCGACTCGCAGAAGACCTTACTCAGCAACAACAATATCCCATCCAATAATGGCGTCGATTGCGGCAACTTCTACTTCCATGGATTCTATTGCCGTTTTTACTACTCATTTATCACTTTGCTCTACCGCTAAAGCCGCCTCATTTTGCTGGTCTGCCCTACCTTATCTTCC